TTTGTATACTTTTTGTATACTTTTTACCTCCATCCCTAATGTTTATTACAGCTTCTGCAATCAATTAACCTACCATTCATTCCTTGCAATTAAATGTAGATTCCATAAAATGATCTTCTAGTTGACTAGTTCCATATTTATGGCATTGATTCGAGGCTCACAATTGTGGGCCGCGTCCACCCTAGGAGGCATTCGAAACCTCATAAACAATCATCTCGCTACTCAGCGTGAAAGTATCTCTCCTTTCGAAGGCTCGCACTAAATCATCGGCGACATTTTAGTGTGTTCCACTGTTTTACTACGGTCATTTTCTATTAGTGTCGCCTCGGAGTTATTAACCTTGCGTTACGTACGCGTGTCGATTTGTTTTCCCGACACTCGACTTGTAATTTACAATTTATACATTGTGTTTATCACTCGGCTCGGTTGTGCGGGAGAATATATCACCGGCGGAATGGTCCTGCTCGACAATGGAACAGTTAGATGGGTTTCCAATAAATCGATTCGAATTGAACGGTTATCCGGGATGCTTTGTATAATGTAGATGATAGTGGTATATTTTCAACGTTTGTTGTTTTATTACGAGAAAAAATGGGCCCGGAGCGGTGGCATTAATGCTCCTTTCTGCGTCCAATCCGAGCACACTTGTAAATTGTAAAGATAACAAAAGATATGCTGTTAATTAAAGACGTTTTCGAGTCGTAAACGCTGGATAATATAAAAGCAATATAAAACAACGTTTCTTCCATAAACATCGGCCACTACAATAAACTATCATCTTTATTGTTGATTAAAATGAGGTTACGATGTTTTTACTGAACGCCGAGGATGTTCGTAAAGAGGCGTTAGTCGCTTCAAGTGAATGAAAATGTTGAAATAAGTTTTTTGCCGGTTGCAGTAAAATATTCCCGCGAATGTTGTAATTATTAATGCTGGTCGAGCTGTTGAAGTTCCTATATCGCGATGGAATGCAAATTAGAAAAAGGAACCTGTTATTTTATATTTGTTTTGCATCGATTTGTTAACAATTTATTTATAAATACCTGCTAGAACAAATCCTTAATGTTGAAGAATAAATTGAGCTTAGAGAATCGGAAAAAGTAAATGGTAACCGTTAAATCTCTCTGTGTGCAGAGATAAATAAGTAAATAACCGTTTGTAAATAAATAACCGAATTGGTGTACTCTTGTAAGTACGAACAGGTTGCGAGGATTATGCAAATTGGAAATTTTATACAATTATTCATTGTAACGATATAAGAAAATAAAATATTCTTACACAAGAAATTGATATTAACCCAATTTATACATGAAAATCTGCAAATAACTAATCAGTAATGCATACCGTTAATTAATACTAATATAAAATTTGAAATTCAAAAATAAATAGACATAATTAAACGAAATCTAACACACTCCGACCAACATACTCATTGGTTAATTGCCTCTAAACTACCGCTAATAAACAAACCATTTTTTTCGAATATTTTTTGTAATCATTTCGCAACGTGCGCAAGAACTGATAAACGCCTATTAACAAGGTGTATTCCGCAATTGTAAAAGCGTCATTGTCCGCAGAAGCGCGATGCCTGGCTGTAAAATCCAGCTTTTTGCTTATTCTATTGCACTTGCAATTTGTGGGCCAATAATCCCATCCAGAAGGACCGAAACAACATCTCCCTTTTACCTCATTATTAGATACAAATTATCTGTGATGTAGCAATTTATATCGCATCACAACTACTTTGTTATCGATATTTCGTTGACAAATTGTTATATTGATGCTTATAGATGTAAGAATTGGTAATGAAACAGTCCGTTTAGGTGGCAAATGGAGTGCACCGTGTATCGGTTCGCTTCAGATTGATTCCCGTATGACAAGTTGATTAAACCGCTTAATTAAGTTATTTAATTGGCACACCAGCGGTCGAACTGCGTTCCACTATGCAGCCACCATTCTTTCGATATACTATTAAAACGCTTTTTGTCACATTACCGATTTTTATGAAAGCCGATAGTGCATTCCGCGTGTTTCTCTCTTAACAATATCGAGTTCTCCGTGCCGGGAATTTTCTAATTGCTCGGATTTTTTGTGCCAATTTTTGTCTAATTTTTTCTAAAATATTATATAAGTTTCAAAAATTGTTCAGGACTGTTTTATAAATCATTTTTCAAAACCATTTAGAACTATCCTGAATCATTTAGAAGTTATGGGGTTCATTTGAAACATTTCAGAACGAACTTAGAACAAATCTATTTGGTAGGTTCCAGATAAATTAAAAAATCCAGAAATTCAGAACCATTTTAGAACGTTTTCAGAATTACCTGGATCATTGGATACTCTTTATTAAATTGCACTTGTGAAAAATTCTAAAAAGTCCATTACTCGGATAATTTCTAATAAATTCCACACCACTGTTTGAAGATAAACAGTTCGGATTGTATAAAACTAATTAAAATGATTGTTGTAACAAACCAGTTCGATCGGATCTGGCGAGTACACTCAGGTGAACAGTAGCAATAATACGCTATAATAATTGGCTGTATCTATATTTACGCTAGAAGGCATCATTTGCGAGAAAGCGGCTCTATCATTGTTCGATAGCGGACGATAGATCGGTAGTTACTTTCGATATGATAATTTTCGCATTTTTGGCGTGCATGCGTGTGTAATAGGAATGAACGGTTGATTGAGTATTATTCGCTATTGATCGGAATCGGAGTTATTGAACACGAAATGATGTATTGCACTCAGATTAATAGTTTTTAACACTTCTAAGTGAAAGAGGATACCTTCTATATGCCCGACGTATTGATATTATCGTAAATAACAGTTTATTTTTATTGTTTCCAATAAAAATGTAGTTACTATTCGTTCTCTTTGTTATTATTGTACGGCTACAAAATGTGTTTCTTTTCTTATACGCACGTCTGGTGCGAGTACTATAAGGTTTATTTTATCTCATCTCATAAATTACTAAATAATTGACAGAAACCCCGCTGATACTATTTTTCAAAAGCAGAAATCTCGATAATAATTCAATAGGTTTTATGTTAATTAGGCCTTTATCATAACACTCGCAGATGCGGAAGTAATTACAGATTACATTGCGTGTAAGTATCTTTATGAAACAATGCGTAGGGTTTCATATATAGATCGTTATTTGTACAAGTAGAGAGAAAACAATTTCTATTTAAATTATCACACAAGTATCTGCAATAATCGTTTTCTCTACCATATTCGTCGGGGGTTACGCAATATATTTTTTTTGTAGAAAATCATAGACATTCACAACAGAAATCAATGTACCTACTTCAGGTGGCGTACAAATTGTCCCAATAAATAAGCCATCATTTAAGATAATGGCTGTGTTAACAGTGTTAACCAGCGAGAAAAAAAGCCATCGACAGCTGTTGGTCTGAGCAAGAAGCAGCTCGCCTACATAATAGAAATACAAACACCTACGAAGGGTTTTCAGTCACTGGCTTGAACGGCTCAACGTCGAGATTTGTATCAATCCTAACGAAAATACTATACCGGGTAGGCCTGATGCGATATGTGGACTGAAGATTTTACAAGCAGATTGGTCGGTTTTTTAGATGAAAAATTGTTATAAATGCTTCTTGGGTTTTTCTATAGTTGATCCTGAATGACTCCAAATAATGTGTTCTAAGTGATATTGGAACGTTCTAAATGGTTCTAAGATCGTTCTGAACTGATTCAAACGGTTCTGGTGAGTAAAAGCTATCCTGACCAATTTGACACAAGTTCTGTTATAATGTGATCTTGGTCCTTCTCTCCCTCTTAAAGAAGATGCAACTGTTGATGAATAAACCGGTAATTTTTTTGTTATTAGAAACCTCCATAGTAATAAAGTAGTAATCGTTGTTGGCGCAGATTTAAAAAAAAAGCGAGTCCGCTACTGGAATTCTGTAACAATCATTTTAATTAGTTTTATAGAATTCGAACTGTTCATGTGTAACGGCGGCACTGTCAGCTGAAAACAATCGTCGAGAGACAAAAGGAGCCAGAGCAAGTCTATTAGGATGTGTATATGGGAGAAGTTTATGGTCGGTTGAGCTATTTACCTACTCCAATTAAAGGCTGATTAATGATTATTGTTCGTCAAACAATTCCGACTTTCACCCGTATACGATGCATTCGCCGGATTGTCCGTCGGTATTCCATCACGGGGCATTTGCATCGCTATGGTAAATTATGTCATCCTTTTTTGATTTCCTTTACTCGCTGGGTTTTATTGCCGCACGCTTCGGTATGAAACGCCGATTTTACTCAATACATTCTATATACATACACTAAACTTTCGAAAGTTATATTTCAATAATAACGATGCGAGAAACTAAATACCCGATGGTAATATGATTCACGTCTTTTAACATCCTTTTGCCTTAACGTTGTTCTTTTGCAACTGAAAATTACCATACTTGCGTGTCCATCACTAATGAACGCGATTCACAATCCGCGGCAGTAACTGCCTTTTCGTCCTCTTGTTTTTGATCCCAGTGAAATCTACACTGGGAAATTTCATCCCTCACATCTTCACCATTAACAACAGATTATATTCCCTCAATAAATACCACCTTCATAAATGCACCTCAGTGTCGATGTTATCCTTAAAAACCTTTTAATAGAAGCTGTCTTTAAATTCCATTTAGATAAATTATTACATCGAATGAAAGTTTTCTCGGTGTATCGCCGGTTTCGTCCTGTTGTTTTCGAGCTCAGCTAGCCTATAATTTTTATTGTCACGGTAAAGAATTAACAGCGGGAGAGTTTCGCTTCTTCGCCGTTTTGTTGTATTGTGCATGAGCGAAATATCCACTGTCATCGATCATTTAAAAGGTTTTTCAGAATGCAAACGCTAAGTCGGACGGGAATAATTTTCATCACACGTGATTACGCTGGAATTTATTATTTACTGGTTATCTCGAATGGGAAAAAGTTAGGTAGTACAAAAGGGTCATTCGATAAACTAAACGGTTTTATTGGATCGGATTTTACGCGGCTGGTAATTTAATAACGTTATATTGATACGCTTCCTAGGAATTAATTTCTGCAAAACATATACATCGCCTGGATGTGGAGGTATTGTTCTCGATGCCCCCTATGGGACCGATACCCGCAGGTTAGCGTGAGCCTCCTACGGTTATGTTCCCCACTGGTTACTCTGCTCTCTGGCTCATTGTAGTAGCTAACATGCCAAGGCTACTAATTGCACGTAATACCGAGACTTGATGAAAAAAAAAATAAAACAATATTTGCTCAAGCGATTTATTATCATGCGCTAATCATTGGAGATACTACTAGTAGTATTCGCTGGTTGCGTTGATGTTTTTCTGGCACCATTGGGTGAGTTTCCAGATTACGCCGGTGTCCCACCAAACGGTGTTGAGCTTGTCTTTGATGAAGTCTCCGATGGTCACCGCGCGGAGGTTCAGCGCTTCTTTAATGGTAGTGGCGATGGTGGAGCCGGCAACACCGTTCAAAGGACCTAGCCCGTTTATGTCACACTAAAAAAACCCGATTATATAGCAACGAATTGTTGTAAATAATTTTTTTAATACTTACAGTGAGGTCTTGTACAGACCAATCGATGTCAGCGTGGTTGACTTCTTGGACAAGTTTGGTGAGTCCAGGTCTGGTGACGTTCAGAGTTCCTGACCAGAGGACGTCAGTCCAGTTCAATCTGTACCAAAATAATAATAATTAATTACAAGAGATATTAAAGCTTGGAAAAATGTTACCTGAAAGATCCGTGTTGTACTTGGTTCAAGATAACTTCGGTGGTTTTGAGGGAGTAATCGAAGGTGATGTTCATTGTCTTCCAGGATAAATCGAACTTGTACACGATGTAGTCGCTGCCGTCTTCGGTGAGTTGGGTAGCTTTGAGATCCCAAGCGGGGATTCCGTACCAAATTCCATTGGTGAGGTTCAGCTCCACCCTTTGAACAAATATGCACTAATAAGGATACTGGTGTATACAAATAGATTTCATAATTACGCTACAACGTTGACATGACCGCTCCACGAGGCATTGTGAACAAAGTGAAGGGGTGTATGTTGAGGAATGTGCAATTCGGGGACGCCTCGTGTGATGGCCGTTTGGGCACATCTCATCAGTTGGAAACCATAGTCCAAATCCTTGCCTAAAAAATACGAAAATGCATAATATGATGGAGGTGCCTAATAAGGAACATATCTGGTTGAAACTCATAAAATTGCATGAATAAGTATACCAATAAATTATTGCATTTATTAAATTAGTCGGTTATGGATCATTTGGTTACAATGATATAAGAGCAAATAAATTTTATAAGTGTTGTAATGCAGTCTTTAGTTTGAACTTAATATAATTTATAGTAATAATAAAATATATTTACCTGCAAGGACGACACAGGCCAAAGCTAAAAATGCTACTGCTTTAACTGTCCACATGTTGCTACTTGTATTCACTGCGCCAGAAATGAACTACGATAATAAATTATTTGGATCCCTTTTTATATAAGAAATAACCACTTGAAGATGCATTGTAAGTATCTACACAAAACGCTGGCACTTGAAATTTGATATTCAATTGTAAAAATTAAAAAAACTACTTTCATTGTTTGATAATCTTTTACTAACGGAGTAGGTATCTACGTAAATGTTCCGTACATACATAGCTTTCAAGATTACACTATTTTAATAGATTTTATCAATTATTAACGATAAATTTACTTAAATTACAAGAGCGGTTTCCACATGCATTCTTTTTTTAGCCCTTAGCAACCAAAAATAGCGATAATGCTAAATGTTGCCTAACAGAAATGTATAAAAGTGTCAAGGTTCTCTAATTTCTAATATCCCCAATGTTCTCTAATATCTGCCTTTTTGAGAAAGTTTCAAAAAGTTTCTTTAAAATTTGTTTCATTTATTTTAAGTGCCATGAAAAGACTGACATGGTTTATTTCACAAAGCAATCACATTGAAAAATGTTATTATGATTATTATTAGTTTCTTCTTCCGTCCCTTTGGTGGCGACTTATTGGAGTTGTGGGGTGACATATGATGATCTTGTTAATATCTCCAATTTCTCATCTTCTGCATAATTAATTATAACTCTGCCTTTTTTGAGGAAGTTTTGCATGGAACAAATTCCAGCTCCATTCATTCATCTAATATCATTATCAACTAGTCCAAGGATCCTTGATAATTGTATGCAACTTGGCTAGTACTCCAGCAATGATTTGCACTATAAGTTAATCTAAACTAACTGCAGATTCTGAAGATACCTTTTTACCCCTTATCTAATAGTAAAACATTTTGCTTATTCTTTGCCTATTAGGTAATTATCAATGTAGTAAAATTAGATACTTCCGAAGAAATGAAAAAATACAAAAATTTAATTGCAAGTAGAGCGTTTATTATTACAGATTTATCGCAAGTAACATTTTAGCAATAGTTTAGTTTAACAACGAAATTATCGCACTGATTTAATTTAATAATTTTGACTTTCGTGCAATTTCTGGCACCATTGCGTGAGCTTCCATACTTTGCCAGTGCTCCACCAAATCGTGTTCAGCCTCATCTGAATGAAATCACCCACAGCGTTACCCACCAAATGCAAGTTCAGCCCGTTCTTCACGGTAGTTCCAATGGCAGTGGCGAAAGGACCATTGAAGAGACCTAGACCTGTCAGGCTAACCTGAAAAACAATTCAAATGCCAACCATGCGTTGCTGAATAAGTATTGTATTTACGTCGAGATCTTCCACAGTCCAATCGATAAGAGCCTCGTTGACTTTTTCGGCTACGTTGCTGAGCCCAGGTCTGGTGACGTTAAGTTTTCCCGTCCAGGCTGTATCGGCCCATTTCAAGCTACAAATTGCGAATTAATTAATGAATTTATAACTATTAAATAGGTAATTTACGTCATATGTCCGTGTTGGACTTGTTTGAAGATGAGCTCGTTTGTGGTGAGGGCGTAGTCGAAGCTCATGTTCATTTTCTGCCAATGCAATTTGAAATCGTAACCGATAAATGTGCTGCCGTCTTCGGTGGTTTGGTTGGCTGAAAGTTCCCAGTCTGGTAGTCCGTACCACACTCCATTGGTCAGGTTAATGTTGATTCTTTAAAAAAATATCAACGAATTAGGTACTGATGGTGTGCTTCAATGTATGAATTAGTTACTTTGCTACGCCGATGTCTCCGGACCAAGATAGATTTGATCTAATGTGAATTGGGGTGTGAGCAGGAACGTTCAATTCGGGAATACCTTGTGTAATGGCGATTTTGGCGCATTTCATCAGTTGGAAACCATAGTCTAAATCCTGGCCTAAGAAAATATGAAAATAATATGATAGAAGGACTAGTACAGAAATACATGCAATTCTGATTACTCTACTAACTTCAGTAGCAGCTAGGCGTTACGTTAGTTGATGCCTTTTTTGCAAACAAAAATCATAAAATTTTATTGAGCACAAATTAATATTCCCGTCAAATTATTTCATACAAATATAAATTATCGCCTTCATTACATTCGTATGTTATGAACTTGTTTCATTTGTGTACAATGATATAAGAGCAAATAAATTTTATAACTGTTGTATACAGTAGGTCTTTAGTACGTGATATTTTGTATCAACTATAAATTATAATAGTAGCTAATGATAAAATATATTTACCTCCAAGGACGAAATAGGCCAATGTTAAAAATGTTGCTGCTTTTAGTGCCCACATTATGTATTATGTATTTACTGCAATAAAATGCGTTATTAGATTATTTTGTTTCCTTTATATATATCACTTGAACTATGATATTGCATTTTATAGCATAAATAAAAAAATCTAATAGTAACATTCGATGATTTTGGACGAATAGAGTAGATCTGACGTTTATTTAACTAGCTTTCGAGATTACATTCGAATTACTCTTATCACTAATTACAAATACGTATCTAAAATATCTTACTTTCTTCTATGCCTTAATAGACAAAATTAACGATAATGCTAGTAGGTGTACCTATAATTAAATAAATTCGAAATAAATTCGTTCTCGTTACAACAGCACAAGACGTTAGCCGTTGTTCGTGATGCTCTCTTTTAATGAAAGCCATAAAATGCTCTATCAAATTGCTTTAAGTTAAAGTACGGCTGCCTGCGCTCCACGGACCAGACCACTTAGAATAGACTACCTGCAATTGTGGTTTTTTCACTTAACTTCTACACTGAAAAAACACTTATCTTACAATCAAACCTCATCAATAAACTAAGCTCATTAGCTATACACATAGATGTACAGGAATACTAGTTTTTAATAAATAAATCGCCCTAAAAATGATATATGAAACAGCAGAATTTTTTCTAGTGTAGCGAACAATTGTGGTTTTTCCTCCCCGCTCGACGATTATGATTTCCCTAGCTAGACAACTCGCAGAGAAATATTTACAGGCAACACTTACGCCGAGGAATATTCATAGGGATTAGCACGTGATTTATCTCGTCACGGAACCATAAATTCTTAAACACGAAATTATTTTAATTGTGATAGTGGCGATGCCGAAGTTGGGCATAATTTACGCCCGCTGTTTCAGGAGAGAATGCCCGTCGACGCGGCGGGCTCGACAACAACTTCAGATAAGTAGCTTCGAATATAACTTATGGGCTAGTTAATAGCGCGTTTGATAATGCGCTGCGTGTTACTGATAAGGACGGGAAACTTGGGAATTATAGCAGGAATATATTGGGAAACAATTTGGCAATTGGGAGGATGTCAAAGATCTTCATGAAGCTTTTTAAAAGGGATATTTTAGGAGTGAAGAAAATGATATGGCCGGCAAGTGCGAGCCACTGATAAAAAAAGTCTGAGAATACCAGCAATTTATAAGGGACACAATCGAGATAGCGCATCAAGCATGACAATATCTTGCTGTCTAAGCGGCCTACACTGGCCAGTGTCATCGGCATGTCGCCATATTAATATCAGTCTTCGCGTACAGCAGGATGATATAATATGCACGGTGAAAACGTACAACGTTCGTTTTCTTCTCTTTGGGCTCCGAGCGACTCGTGAAGTACGAACATTGTTAAAGCGACAGAAAAATAAATTCTCCGGCTTAATTTTCGAGAAGGAAAATTTCGCGCGGGGTGCCTCTGGACCGAGAGAGTGGCCATGATTTACGCGAAACCGCCGGTAATTCGTCTTGTTACTCGGCGAAGATGGCGCAAAAAGCGCACAATATATAAAATTGGCCGTACGCGATATCTTTTATTCCGTTCCGCGATATTTGATTTATCCGGCCGATATGCGAACAATCGATTCGAACAAGAATAAGATGCGTTTTTCCTATTGTGTGCGGAGCTCGTTATTTCTTCCGATTAACTGTAGCACCTGAAATGGCTTGAAAAGTTGCGACCAGTTTTTGCCCACCCAGCGACATTCTCGGGATTTCCTAAGCCTTTTTTACACGATCCGCTCTTAACGAATCTCCACCTAAATGTTTGAATTCTTCATCAAACGAGTCACATCCAGACATTATAACCTACTATTGTTTACGAATCTTACTAGATATTAGTTTGCTTGTGGCATGTAATAACTGTAATCTTGCCAGCGCTCCTGCTATTCTGGCACCGTTTAACAATGCTCAGGAGCGACAAGGAACGGATTCTGCAGCTGTTTTCGACAGATTAGTTGTTACACGCTGTATTTTTATTTACCCCCCGTGTCGCACAATATATGCAATTTGTTCAAAATATCAATGAGGAACTGGAGGAAGAAAGAAATATAATTATACTGCTGTATACGCAGGATAGGTGTCAGGAATGAAAAAAAATTAGCCACAGTTTTACATCTACTACACTACTAATTAATATCAAAATGTAATACAGCAAAGAAGTGTAGCAGGAAGAGTACTACAACAGTAAGCAAAAATATATTGTATAGAATTAGAAATTTTGTATATTACCTAAAAATTAATCCGGTTATATGGTAAAATCGGTCCTCCTGGGATCGCCCCTGCAAGGACTCCTCGGCTGATAAAAGGATATGCGTGGAAGAAAATCTCAAAAGGCAAATTTGTTTTCAGCCAGCCGGGCAAAGGAAGTCTTGAATAAAAAAGAAATTACAGCGCAGGAGGGTGAAAATAACAACGAAGACTCTTTAAAAGAAAAATATAATTAGAAATATGGAACAAGGAAATCAAACGAAATGAAAGGAGGGCGTATTCATTCTTTCTCTTATAAGAGAGAGCCGAGAGTGGCTGCGCGGCTCAATGGAAACTCATCTAGTTATTTACTGTAAACAAGGGGGTCTGGCCTTTTTACGGATAAGGAACGCAGCCAAGATTTTTGGATAATTACAGGCATAAAAGCGTTTAATTTCGTTTATTTTTCCTTCGTTAAAATTACTGTTTCTTATCATAATAATAACCAATCGATTGAAACAAATATACTGCAAGTTTCGATCGAACAAATGAGCAACTTTTACTTTCAATTATATTTTCTAATACTTTTAATTATTGGTTAAAATGCGTTGGACAAAAAGGTGGGCAGGCACTGATTACGAGTAATCAACAATTTCCATTAAAACAAGGCTTTCTATGAGCCGTTTAAAAACAAAACAGTCCCACCCCTTAAATACCGATTCCGGGTACTGTCTCGGCCGCTGAATGAATAATGCCGGAGAAGATAATTGAATCGTGTTGGAGATGAATGAGATGAAAGGCGAGATGTAGCCGAATCTGATAAATTAAAATAGTAAGTTATGAGATGAGACGAGAATAGCGTTGGAACGTTATTTTTTACAATCCAAAGTCCCGTTGAAAGTCGAGTTAAAAATTAGAAAAAAATGATGTATGTGTATTTTAATTAAAAAAAAAACGTAGTTATTGTTTGGATTAGTAACAAATTCGTAAGTTTAATTTGGGAATTGTATTACGACGATCTAAGGCCAGTCCTGTGTGATATAGCCTTAATTATAACTCACGAATATGTAATTACAGGAACACAATCAGTGGATGCGCATTCTCGGACATTCCACTGTAATTATGAATATGCCCGGTGTGTTGGTCTCCTGGCTCTTAACTTACCCGACCCCGCTATTAGTATACACTCCCACCAAGCGTCCATTGTCTTCTTGAGCCGTACGTTTGATATGCTATATAGCAATTTCATAGATTTTTTTCTATCGATAATTTTCTAATAAGTAATAAATTGCTTTACACGATTTAATTATTGAATGGGACGATAATGGTCGCTATGGGTTGGCTGATCGGCTGCTCGGTTGGCTTTTCGAAATGAGCAAGGATAATGCGGAAGAGCCGCTACGAAATTACCTTTAGAAATTCGATTTTTCATTGTTCCTGGTTTACATGTGTTTGTATGCGTGTGGTATAATGCTAATAACAATGTTATTGTGGAATTAACAAAATAAAAGAGAAATGCATTTATTTGAACAATTTCTAAATCAAGTTTAGCTTATCTGGAAATCTTATTCGAGTCTATTCAAAATTATACAGCTAACTGACGTATCAATTACAATAATCTCTGTCGGATGTAAGATACTTGAGCCATTATAATTCTCACGAGTTTGGTAAAGATTATATCATACGCAGCTAAAATTAGCAAAGTATCTAATACAGTAATTAAAATAAAAGTTCATATAAAGTCGTATAGGAAAAGTTGTGCCTATTCTGTACCTATTCTCGTAACATATCTACAAATTTAATCCATTCATCAAACTGTTTTAATTAATCTCCATACTCTATATGTACTATTTTTAACTATAATATAAAAATAAAACCTAATCATGGCACTTGTAAATGTAACAGTCATCATATTTTGTAATCAATTATTTTATAAAATCAAAAATAGACCTTTCGAATTGAACAAAAACTAGCTTACATTTAATTAGCTAGCCGTTCGACATTATTTCCAATCGATCGACGGTTTACCTAAAGGGCGGCAATACAATTTCAAATGACTATTCGCCCATTATGTTCGACCGGAAAATTAACCATAAACGTCGCGGAACATCCCACGAATCACCACCGACGATCTGACATCGAATTGAATGCTTCTTAACTCCCGTATAATTGGTCATAATCCGAATAAGCTCAAAAGTCAGGGCTGTTACCGAAGCGATTCCGATAAATACTCCTTTATAAACTATTTTAGAAGGTATTACAGGAGTGACTGGCTGATTTAATGATGATTCTATACACAGTATCTGGTTTAGAAGATTTTCCTGAAGATGACTAGCTGAAGCAAGTTACTAAATCGAGTTGTCCACAACATACAAGTAACTAAATTTAGTTACTTGGTTTAGTAACTTGCTTTAGCTACTTGATAAGTGTCCTATAAAGATTTTATAAACTCAAATTTAATGGGATTAAATCCTCGAATACCGACCCTGTTTAAACCGGCTGCACGCGGGCCCTTCTTCCGCACCGGAGGCGAGTCCTTCGCAAAAGGACCAGCGATCAGATAGGCGAGTGATAAGTAGGAAACCGAAGGACATTCGTTGCCGATCGGCGATTGTCCGTTCGTCAAGGCGACAAACAAAGCCCACTGTCCGCATCGCGGACTCTAACTAGACGTCTTTTAATTGACGATTGTTTACAGCGGTTATCATTCATGTAGCGCAAATTCCTTGTAAAGGACCGCCGATGCGACGAACGCGAGTCCTTTACTAGGCTATCGAATCGCCTATCGGACTGGTTCGATGAGAGTGGCCGCGATTAGGCCAATTTTCTTGCATCGCAGATGTACTTACCTGATGCTTAATAAGGGTGTTTTTGTATTGAGATCAATATGAAGGAATTCTGGGTAGAGATGAAGCATTGGCTGGTGGAGCTGTTGTGTGAAAACTCGTGGTGAAACTCCAAGTCGCAGTAACACTTCGGTAGGCAACGTTAAATAGCGAGCGGACTTTTGATATATATTAACAGCATCCAGGAGCATTTTAAATATATAAGCACATATGTAGAAGAGTGTGTACAATAAAGAAATGGCAGAAAACGCGCTGTTACGCACCATGCGCCCCGGCGCGGCTTACAAATTTACATCGAAAGGCATAGGTTGACATGTCTACTTATCTAGCGTCCGCTAAAGAATGTCCTTTTACGTATTTGGATTGTGTCGGTTGGCACGGAAGAA